GATATGCTTCTGATACTGATGAGGACGTTGGAAAATATGATGACAGTGGAAAATATGATGATGATGATGATATAGATGATGAAGTAGATGAAGGTTATGAAGAGGAGAATCATGATGATATGCCTTCGTACAAATCTGACTTAGATGATGAACCTGACCTGTCAGGTTTGCAATTCTTTACTGGTCAATAGTTCATTTTAATCTGGGCTAATGCAATCCCTAAGCTTACTGTTGAATATGTTGTTAGATACAACGTCCACAAATAACCCATCTTGGTTGGAGAAGATACAACAAACAGTGAGGAATATTCTACAGGCTGTTAATTTATTCCAAATGCCAGTAAACATATCAGGTATATATTGAACTTTTAATGTTATTTACTAAAACTTTAAGGGAGTACACGGAAATGGTTAATCCATTGTGTGTAACTTGTTCAGAGGCTGCTCATGTACGCAAGGAATATGATGAATCCAGTGCCAAGTTATCTAAAATACAGACAAGGATATCAAGTTTGACACAAAAGCTAAAGCATGACTTTGGTATGTAATGAACTGTTTCAGTTTTTAACTGGTGAAAAATTATTTTATTGGTTTGGCTTCCATTGACTGAACTTGGGTTTAATATTACAGGACCAGAGAAGGAGTTCTACTCATTCTATGATCGTTGTTTTGAGAGCAAGCAGAACAAGTTACGAACTTCTTGTTGGAGTAGTTTGTTCAGTTATCACATACTTAATTATATGGATTGTGAAAAAAAGTTGCTGCTATCAAAATTCCCATTTATTTCACCCTTTGTGACTAAAAACTTTTTGCTTCAGGTATGTTTACAAAGTGTGTCCATACAAACAAGCTTCTCAGGAGGAGGGCCACGCCACTACTCGTTTGGGGTAGATGTTTTCATTTTGTTCTTTCATTGATAGAATCCTTGTCCTTTCTATATAGTGAAAATTGAGGTGTCACTGGGATGATGAAAAGGGGTAGAAAATACTACATGATATCTGCTTGCCCTTTGACAACTGTGAGATCTAAGTATTTTTTATTCTTGCAATTGTGAAATTTGTGTTAGAAAATAAATTGTAACAAATTTGTCAAAGAAAGATTTCATATATTCAAATATTATTTTATAATGAAAAAGAAATTTGATTGGCAGGTTGGGCCCGCCCATAGAAATGGGTAGATGGTTGGACATGCACATTTAAATGAAATGGGTGTTTACTACCCAAGACATTTAACATTCACCCATGCCTGTTCAAACCTGCCCATTTTCCGCCCTAGGCTTGGAGGTCCAACCTTCCGTATATATGAAAAAATTAAAAAAATTTAATGAACTCAGACACATACCTGTATCCACCATTGACCCCTGAATCAAAGTAACATAGGTATACGCAATCCTGTAATTGTGCTTGTCCCTGTGTGCAGGCTTGTAGGTTTCCTAGCCTTTTAGCTTGTGAGTTTTCTTCAAATTAAATCTTTATACTTTTCATATTCACTTATTTACCTTTTTTTTTTTTGTGGGGGTTGTCTGCTAGGCGTTGGGACAAATTTGAGGACTCGTACAGGATGATGGTATTTTCAAATGGAGATAAGTGCTGGAATGGCCCAGATAGAAGTATGAAGGTACTGTTACATAATATAATTTCCATGCGCAGGTTTATTGTTGATGCTAGAGGAATTCCTGTTTACTAGTGTTGCCTTTAAATGAATGGGACTGTTTAATTGAAATGGTTTTATTGTTCCAAGTTTTATAATAGACTATTAAAATGAGTTAAGATGTAGGTGAAACAAGAACGAATTTTAAAATTTATGATGAAACTGATTTAGTGGCCCTTCAAGTTCTTGAACTCTATACATGTTCTACTTCCTTACAGGTGAAATTAAGATGCGGTTTGAAAAACGAGATCACTGATGTTGATGAACCGAGCCGTTGCGAGTAAGAATCTCTCTCGCCCTCTCCTGCATGTGCATGCGTACGTGTGTTTATGTGTCCATGCACATGTCTTGCTCCTAACAATTAGTTTGTCATGGCAGATATGTAGCTTTGTTGTCAACACCAGCTGTTTGTGTGGAAGATAAGCAAAAGGTAATTGGCAGTTACTATAATGAATTTAGTGATGTAGCGTGCTTCTCTGCTGCTTTGAAATTTCTAAACGGGTTTCTAAATCTCAATTGTGATAGGAACTGCAACATAAACTAGATTTGATGAACAAAGAACAACCTCTGGAACATGATGAACTTTGAGGAGCCTGAACAGAATTTTTGCGGATGCACTAGAGGATTTGGACTCCCTATTCTTAGAAGGCTTATCAGTGTAATTTTAGAGATGTAGAATGTGGCCTTTCCGAGCTGGTAGGCTGAAGAATTTCAAGCAATATCTGAGGTGGCCTCCTGAAAATTTTTTTCATAGTGGAGTATGCTTCATTATTGCAATTACACGGGTGAATTGAGGTGCAATTATTATTTGTCTGGCTAAAAACTGATTTTGGTAACATTAGTCCTGTCATATATACTTGAATATCTGCATAGAATAATTATAAAGATACTAATAGTCAAAGATGACATTAGTTCCAGTGACCTGTGGTTCTCTTGGTAATTTTCTGACTATCAAATTTTTCTTATGGCCATATGATTGGTTTTCAACCAATCAGGGTTTCAAAACACCATAAACAATAGATGTTGTACTTGCAGGATTTAGGGTTCTCCCGTGTCGAATCCAGCCTATAACTGTTATTTCTTTTGTCAGAAGATCAATGGGATCTCAGTCGACATGGCAAGTAGTTTGTTTCCAAGATTGTCAATAAAGAAAAACGATGTCAAACATGGATGCATTGGCTCTGATGTCTCTGCCTAATGGAATGGAGCTTCGGTTAGGTTATTGATCCAACAAGAACCTATGAGCACCTGTTTGGTTGTTCGTTTTTCTCTTTGATTTCAGACCATCATATTTGCTAGTCAATTGGTTAGACTTTGTCGTTTTCAAGATCAAGTGCAAAGATGGTTTGGTGGGCGTTATCATGAGAAAAGTTTGAGGGTGTAGACTTCCAAAAGCGAGAGATGGTTTCACGTGAGCGTCAAAATTAAGCGAGAAAAGTTGGCTTGTAATTATCCATTCCTGATTCCTCCGCCATACAACACACAAAACATCTCGACATAATCACGGACAAAGCTCAACTCATATCAGCTCAATTATCTGCCCTTGGCTTCTCAAACACCTATGGTTTCTTAACATTTTAGTTACTTTTGTTCGATCTCTCAGAGAGAAATTCTTAGTCATTTCTGCCTACTACAAACTTTTGTTATTTGATGTATTTGTAAGCTCTTTGACTATTGGTTCAATCAATCAATCAATCAATCAATCAGACCCGTCACATCAGTTTTCAAGCTTGTGCAAACTTTATTTTCTATGCTTCATTCATTTGAGCAATTCATCTTCTTTGGTTTTATTTTTGTTTTTGTTGGTTAGATTTAATAACTTATTTTTCTCTCTAGAATTGTGGTATTTTTTTTTTTATTTTCTTGATGTTTTAAGCTTCATTGTAGCTTTCAAAAAAGGTTTAGACCAAATTACCCTCTTAAAGTTGAAATCATCTAATCCAATCTATTATAAAATGTCTTTCAATCAAGTCATTGTTATCAAAGAACAAGTTTATTGAATATGATCTTTTATAAGAATTTTATTTGATATTTTATTCAAATGTTTATGAAAAATTCTTATATAATAGTTGCATAAATGATTCCAAAACTTAAGCTTATTAAGATACCTTATGTGTAGAATGCTATGCTTTGATACTGAAGTAAAACGTCTAGCAAAAATTTCTTGGAGTAGGTTGAGCATCAAAAGCCAAAATGAAAAGCTCAAAAGTCATAAATGAGTATGTTCATAATTTTAATATTTTCCTTGTTAGTTAGGAGCCTACATAGGAATTATAGGTATAATAGAATTTATCTTTTATTTAATTTACATGTACTAGGACTTTAGGATAGTGATGTTCTAATTAGGAATAGAATATTTATTTTATTTAAATCTTTTGTTAACTACTCTAATTGTACTAGACAACCAGAAGTAGAGTTTTATTAGGATTTAGGCCTATAATGTTATAAATAGGACCCTTAGGTTTGGTTTTAGGATCATCGAATAGCATTATTGAGTTCTCTCAATTTGAGTTTAAGCTTCAATATTTGAAAACTTGGTTATTAACCATAAAGGCTTAGTCAAGTGCTAGCTTTTGTTTTTACTCTAATTCATTGCATCAATTGGTATTAAAGGGGGAAAAACTCACCCAATCTAATGGCAAGTGACTCAATTAAGGTGGGTGGCGGTTCTCATGGTGAAGATCGGGGAATTGAGACCTTACGACCTGCAGTGCAAGATCAATGGGTGGCGTTGAAGGCTTTAGATCAACGAATGGATCTCAAATTCTAGCGTTTAGAATGCCATTTTGAAAAAATTGCAAATCGACTTGATGGTCTATGCGTAGATGCCAATAGAAACCAAAATGATGAAAGGCCACGTATCGAAGATGATGTAACTCGCGAATAGCTTGTTAGCTGACTTGTTCCTACAAATGGGCATAGATAACGAGTCTACATAGAAGATTCAGAAAAAGAAGATGATTATGTTACATAAAGATATGCCAGATATGAAAGGAATGATTATGGTGACAAAAATACTCGCGATTTT